TCAAAGACAACTTCATCTGCTTTCCCAATATCACGGATGTGGTGATATTCACAGTAAGTAAATTACAATAAGCTCTGCAAATTAATTCGCATTTTTTATATACTGCAATAATTAAAATAAAATAAAATTATAAGCAAGAAATTTAAAACTGCAGATCATTGATTTTTCCATTTCTTTTTTATTTTTATTTTTTTTTCTCAAATAAAAAGGGCAAAAAAAAAGGCTACAATTACAATCAATCATCTCTGCGGCTGACGGTCCATCATGAGGCTGAAGTCCTCGAAGCAGACAAACCCGTCCCCGTTCCTGTCCACCCCCCTTATCATGCGCCGGCAGTCGTCTAACGTGCACCGCGAGTCCCCGATCGTCCGAAACACATTGAACAGCTCCTCCGCCGTGATCCGCCCGTCCCGATCCGAGTCGAAGAAGTCGAACGTGTCCCGCAGCTCCGAGTCACACGCCGGCGGCGCGAAAGCCGACCCGATCGCGTGGAACTCCTCCAGCGTGATGCACCCGTCGCCGTCGCGGTCGACCTCCGCGAGCATCAGCCGGAGCTCCTCCCTGCTCGGCGGCTCTGCCCCCAACCCGCACAGCAGCGCCTCCAGCTCCTCCTTCCGGATCTTCCCGTCGCCATCCGCGTCGATCATCTCGAACGCCTGCTTGAGCTCGAGGTACACATCGGCGGAGATCTCGGACCACTCGTCGGCGGAGATCTCGGCGGAGCCGGAGGGGAGGACGCTGGTCGGCGTGGCCAGGCCGCCACCGCCCTGCTTTTTGTAAACATCCTCGGAAGAGGCCGAGGAGGACGTCGCCTGGGAGCTGAACGACGGCGTATCGGCTTCGGATCTGGAGACGGATCGGGATTTTTTGGGCCTGAACAGCTTGCCGGGGATGATCTTCGCGAGTTTCATGGCGGATATGAGAATCCAATGGAGGCGAGGAGAGAGAAGAAGGTTGTGGAAAATTGGGGATTGAGCGAAAGAGGAGAGGAAGGAGAGAGGGTTAAATGCTGCGAGGTAGCCATGGTAAGCTTCGAGGAAGCTTCGTAGAGAGAGAGAGTGTGTGTGATAGAGCTTTGATTTTTGATAGAGTATTTATTGGAAAAGGACGAGTTTTTAGGTTCTTAGGTTAATTAATTAATTTAATTAATATTGGTGATAATTTTTGGTTGGCTGTTAAGCGAGTTGAGTGGTTGAGTGAAAATGGTGATTCGCGGGAATTTCGGTTACGATTTTATTGCCTACAAAATATGATAACTTATTTGGTTATCAAATATAGCAAATTGGAGCTAAACTTGAGCTTTTGAAATTTAATTATGAACTGAGCTTTATGGAGTCGAGCTCGACAATTAAAATTAATGAATCGAGCTCAAAATTTAAAGTGTGAAGCCATGTTTGAAAAATATGTAAAAAGGAATATATAGAGATTTAAACGAGTTTGAGTTCAACTTGTTGAGTAATTGATGGAGACGAGATCGCGATAGCGTTTCTACAGAAATACGACCGGATGCCTTTTTTAGTCTAGTTATTTATTTCCTAGCTTTTATTATTATTCCATATTTTTATTTACTATTTATTTAAATAATATTCCCTTGTTTAGGATGTTTAGGAAACCTAGGCTTTTGGGGTTATTTATTTCCTTCTTCTCTCTTATGAAGACAATCATCGTTGAATAAAAAAATTAAAAACTTTGAGATTTCATCTCTTGTTTCCCTATTGTTTATCGCTGCGCTACATCGGTAATCGAGTTTAACTTAAACGAGTCAAATCAACGAACGGCTCAGTTCATTCAACAGCTTTAGTTGTAAGAATGTATATGTAACTTATAATCTAATGTAAAGTTAAATATTTGTTGTGTTTTATATTGAAAATTACATTGAGGACAAATCAAGAGAACATTATGAACAAATATTATGAGACATAATTTCTTTTATCTCGTATTTGTCCTTCCACATTTATGAAACCATAACCTAAACGAAGTATATCACTCCATTCTAATCCCATAAGCATAGTAAATTAACAAATTGAGTCCTTAAGTCCTCACATTTTATCAAGTTTTTACTGTTTCCACTTCAATCAATTATTCAGTAATCGAGCTTGAACAATTTGTATTAGATCAAAATGTACATGCGAGCCAATTCCTAAAATGTCGAGTGATTTGGCTGGAGGACATGGGGTTAACATGTTTGAGTGGCTTTGGCTTCACTTGTGGCGAGTTGTACTATTTGAATCAGGTCGAGTTGATCAATAACTCATTTCGAGTTCGTGCTTTTTTAATTAATAAACAAGTTGACTTGACTCGATTCGTATATTATACAAATTGTTGGCTTCTGTTCAACTAGTTCAATAAACCTACAACATTGAAAGAATTGTTTGCAAATAAGTTTGACTCAACTATTCCGCTCAGAACTCATAAGAAAATAGATAAACAAAAAAAAAAGTTGTTTGGGGAATAATTTTGGCTCTTCTCGGCTATGTCTTATAAAAGAGATCGATTAGTTGTTCGAGCTCAACTCATTACGTTTGTTAAAACTAGCTCATAAATTAGCTGATGACTGATAGTTGATAAGTTAGATTATAGCAGATAAGTGATTTTCGAACTTATAGCTAAAAATTCAGTTTATATGATAAAAGTATTTGGTAAAATTAACTAATAGATTAGCTGTTGGGAATATCACTTGTGAGTTGTCCCACATTGATTTGATAGGGTAAATGAGCCTAGTTTATAAGTCTAGTGGGCTACTCTTCCCATCACCAATTGGTTTTGGGATGGAACCTCACTTGGGCTTCATTTGGGCTAACCCTCTTATGGTGCGCTTCACCTGTGTGGGACCGCACTCGTATTGCCCTCGTTTGACATGGTAT